CATTTATTTTGTGTTATCCTATTCAATTATTTATTTATTTACAAGTAGATCAACATATCTTTCTTTCAAAAAAGTTTAATGTATACATAAAACTCACTTTTGTTAGTTAAAACATTAGACATGTGCAGTTTCCAAACTATTATGCTAATATAAACACATGTGTGGTGGTTAACATGCTAACATATGGTAATTAAAACAATCATGTGTTTAGAAACTGAATATGTAATGCTGTTAAACTCAATTAAGTAACTTCAGAGATCTGGGAAGCCAACAACAGCAACTACCACAACATCTTTTGGCACTCAGCCACATAGATAAATCACTACACTGTGGAGTATCATTTTAAAGTTCAATCACTCATCCCAGGACCTCCTCGCCTCGCCACGCTAATCCCCCCAAAGCTGAGCCAGCAATACAATGTTTTTGCCAGCAGCCTTTAAGAGAAGTGCGACCTCTCATATCATCACTTATCACCCTCCAGCGGCTCACAGTGTTTCTCTCTACGCACCACTGTAGGGAATCAGTGTGAAAATTAGAAACACTGATGAAAATGGTGATAACGTTTCAAGTTTCAAGTCTTTTATTGTCATGTGTACATAGCTACAGTGTAGTTATGACAATGAAAATCTTAGGTCACAGGCTCCTCCAACAGCCCAACACAATAAAACAAGTAAATAAAATAAAAATTGAATATAATAGAAACAGAATGTGATAGAAAGTGTGCAGAATAGACTATACACAGTAACTGGAATATTGACATATGTGAGTTGCAAACAGATGATTGTTATGTATGTTCTTTCAAAAGTTCAGGTGTTCAACAGTCTTATGGCCTGTGGGATGAAACTGTCCCTTAGTCTTAGTCTGGTGGTTTTAGAATGAAACACTCATATTTTTTTCTAATATATCTCTTTTAAAGTCATTTGGGTAAACAAAAGTCCATATCCTAGCCGTGTCCCTTGCTGCACTCCAAAAGGTGGCCATTTAATCTCTCCTGGCTCTCATCTCTTCCTGCCACCCGTCCGGCACTGAAGCATTCCCTTTGTGCCCTCTGCTCCTTTTCATCAAAGGGGAAAGTTACTCCGTCAGCAGCAAGGGGGATGGAGAGTGGCTGGACTCGAAGGAAAGTGGGTTGAGAGGGGCGTGATGGATGAGATTGGGAGCTTTCCTGACTCATGGCCTGCTTTCTCTGGTGACTAATGTGGTCAGTGACATCTCTCTCACTGCCCCTCAACCACCCTGCTCCATCTCTCCGTCCCACCTGGGAGGCTTGTAGACGACCGGGAGCGGGAAATGTACATAATCTAACCCCACTCCCCAAGTCTTGGCTTAGAGAGCATGTGCTGAGGTAAAACAAGCCTGTCGGGAGCCAGCAGGGGTCAACCAAAGAACGCTCTGAAGCACGTATAGATCCTAATGGAGGACGAGATAAGAGCTGTACATTTATCTCTCCCCTCGCTTGTGTTTTTAAAAATGATATCATAGGCTTTTAATGCATATATCTCCCATCTTCTTTTTATATATGACCTGTTTTTTGGAGTTTCTTACGGTTTCATACGTGTTTGAGTGTTCGGTTGATCTGTAAAACTTGGTCTTTTGGTACAGTAGCATATTAGCTAGTCTGTGTAATGAAGCTTTTTTTTTATTCTTTATTGTAAAATTAGAGCTGCAATGATTGGTTGTATAATCGAGTAGTTCATGGACAGAACAATAATCGCCATTTTGATAATTGATGATGCAAATATGTATATATTTCCAGTTTTTCCATTTTTGGATGGAAATGTTTCACTTTCTGTCCGTGGCCAAACCAAACAATAAGTTGAGAAAATAATCAGCAAATAATTAGTAAAGAAAAATATCGTTGCAGCCATATTGTACATTTTCAACGCAGATACCGCTAAATAATGAACAATTACTTATTATTGATTAGTAAGTCAAATTTCCTTCACTAAGTCTTCACTTTAAATTCTTATTGAAATTAAGTCTATTTTGAGAAAAACAACGTAAACAAATTGAGAATTTACTTTAGAGATTGTGACAATGAGGGTAGGACCCTCCTACCCTCCTACCCTCACCTATGGTCATGACGGATGGGTCATGACCGAAATAAATAAGATTGCGGATACAAGCGGCCGAGATGGGTTTTCTTCGCAGGCATGTCCAGCTGGGAGGAGACCAAGGGGTAGACCTAGGACCAGGCGGAGGGATTATATCTCTTCGCTGGCCTGGGAGCGCCTTGGGATCCCCCAGTCAGAGCTGGTTGATGTGGCCAGGGAAAAGAACGTTGGGGCTCTCTGCTGGAACTGCTACCCCCGCGACCCGACCACAGATAAGCGGGAGAAGATGGATGGATGGATTGTGACGATTCTTGTAATTATTAACATATCATTTTTGTAGAATTTATCTTAGGAGAAAGCAAAGCAGACTTGTATCAGACAAGATTTTGGTTAACAAGAGAGTAACTGGCGCATCTGATGAAGGTCACCTTTTCTGCTGCAGGAGCAACACGTATCAGGTGTTGAGGGGAATTGATTTTCTGAGAACTGCTGTTGTAAAGTCAGAAATAGCTTGGTGATTTGTACAGTGGAATTCAAGTGGATTAATCTCCAGGATGTATTTATAAAAGACAAACTTTAAAAACATCGGTTAAATCCGAGTGGGCAAAAATAATCTCATAAAAAACTAAAGAAGAAGAAATAGAAGCATACCAACCAAGCACTCATTTTCTAACAATCCCCGCTTCTCTCCTTCATGATACCAGTCCAGAAAGGAATTGTGCTTTGCAGATGGTTGTCTACAAGTGTACACAGCCACATATGGTCGCAACAGCAACACACGCACATATAAAAAGATGCACCTAGACTCACACACCTTACAAGCCTGCTTATTACTAAGGCTGTCAGCCCTTCACCTTAGTTGTTTTCATTGTATTATCATTTCAAAGAAGAGCCAGCAGCTGCCAGCTACAGATCTTAAGTATGATCAGAGCGGTGTGAGTGTTTGTGAGTGTGTGTGGGTGCAGCACTGGTCTCGCGTGTGTGAAAAGTGTGTGTGTGTGTGTGTGTGTGTGTGTGTGTGTGTACGCATGTGAGCAGAGACTCTTTGATGGAAGGAGATATAGTTCAGGCAGGCCCTTTGAGTGGCTTGCTTATCTGCTACAATCTGACTCAAACACACAGACACACACATATATTTCACCCTGGTGGTGAATATTTCAAAAGGACAAGGTTTTGTCTATCCTCTGAACTTGTAAGCTGCACATCTCATATCTGCTTGGTAGCCCCACACCCATCTAAAACAAGGACTAAACTGCGACACAAAGAGCCATGTGATGGCGCTTTTTAAATATGTCAAATGGGATGACAGATTTTGTTTCACTAGTAAAGAGTGCAGACTGTGTAATATGGCCTCTGTTTTCAAATGTTTGAGTAATTCTTAAATTGAGATAAAGAAACATGGTTTTCAACAGAACGAGGTTGAGTCTCTCTCCAGCTTTCACTGTCTCCATTGATAATTCAGAGGATCAAGTTTGACTTAAGCAAGGATTTCAAGAGTAAAGCACATGGATAATTATTCTCTTTCTCCTCAAGACGGGCCAAGGATGGCGCACTTCTTCTGTGCAACTTGATGGACTCACTTTATCCTTCTCACTTTGTCCCTAACAGGTGGGGGAAATGTTTTCATATAGGAATCAACCTTTTTAGGTTATGGATCGCTTCACAAAGGTTTTTTAACAAATAAATAAAAACAACATAAGCTAGAGATTGCTACTGATGAACAGAAACACATACATTTTAAGTTGTGCAGTGTTATTTTGTGTACAGTTTTTGAGAAATAAATAAGTCAGTTGGCCTCATTTTACAAATGTTATTTATGTAAAAAGCAGCAACTGCATTTTTCGAGAAACCGTAACTTGTTATTGTTACACTTACTGAAAAATCATCCCTAGTGGAAGAGTGTTTAGCATAAATAAAGTGTGACTTTACTCTGCACCCTTTGTACTGAATCAGGAATCAATGTTGCTTTGAGTATCCAGATTGAATGAAACCAAGAGATGCCGAAAGATACTATGAATAACACTCCAGAAACATTAAACAGCTTCAGACTGTTTTTCTGAGAGAAAGACACTTGAATCTCGAGCCCCATCACATGTTTCTGCCTCCACCCACAGGTGGGGAGCACAGCTTGAGATCTGGACATTGTTGTGTTTGTGATATAATCTCACACCTCAGCATGCACTTGGCCTGACCCTAGAGCTGGCAAAGTACCACTCTCGTAAAATATGCTTGTTTTTTTCCCCACACTCCCTTCCCCCTACTTTTACCATCACCTTCGCTCACATGCACTCACACACAAACGCATCCAAAAAGGTGAGCGGTGCGTAGGTGACTTTATGCTTTTGATCCCAAACAACCATAATACAGGTCACCAGCACACAGTGGCCACAGACACGCTGAACTTTGTCCCTATACCTGAATCAACAGACAAAAAATGTACTTCAGTGACTTTGTTACAATTCCCAGTTGAGCCTATTTAAATATCTAAACATCTTTAGGCCTTTCCTGCTTATAAAATGTAAAATAAAAATAATTGAGTATTTAGGTCAGAATAAAATCCCTTACTGATAGGCTTAATCTGCATTATCTATATAATCTTGTATGACTTTATCAATCTCTTTAAACAGTTAAAAATAGTAGGAAAAATGCATGAAACTGCAACCTGTGCATTGAGAGTCTTCTAAAGCTAAAAAGATGAGTGTAAAAGGAAACCAAGACTTCCCAAATGACTCTTATCATCTAATCTGTTGCCTCTACAACAGGCATATGTGTATTAGCAATACAGACGAATTCACATTACTGCACCCAGTTTGAGCCATGCTTCTCCTATCACTGACCATCTGCTATTAATTGTGTGCAATATTCAGACTACAGTGGTCCTTTCACTGCCCTGTGCAAAAGAGCACTGCGATATTACTGCAATTAAACCTGAATCAGAGCACTTACCGCTTACAGCAAGGAGCGGCGGAGGCAAGGTGTGCGGTCGGAAGATGTCAAATAATTGTTTGCTTTTGTCGTATCTGTAGGAAGGTCATCGTTTGGGTTGTATTTTGGCTGTGATGGTCGGCTGTTTGCTGGACGGTTCCTCCACTTTCAGTGCTGCTACTGATGATCACACGGTATCGAAGGCGCGGTGAGAGACGCTTTGGAGAGGGAGGAGAGGAGAGGGGAAATTGGCTCTGGCAATGGCAAACAGCGACCACGTGTGGCTTGTGGAAACGTGAATACAACCTGTTTCTGTATAGAGAAAGAGAAGAGGGTTCATGTAACATGGATAAAACCAGCAGGTGGATTGCAATGAGTGCCTGCGTAATCATAGCTGCAGGTAGTTACGCAACAAACCAAACGGTTAATCATCATGTGTGGAAGCTTGGTTAAACACACATCTAACTGTACATATGAAGAGGTTGAAAGTAACTACATTTACTCAGGGACTTGTACTTTACTTGTATTTCCATGTAATGCTACTTTATACTCCACTATATTTAAAAGGGAAATATTCTGATGTTACTCCACTACATTTAATTAACAGCTTAAGCTACTTTTAACAAAATGCATCTCTAAAACATTAACTTTTTTTCAGAACCTTGTTTCAGTAAAATGCTACTTGATCAGCGATATTATCTAGAAATGTCACATATCAATATAATTTTTCTGCAAAATAATTACTTTAACTTTGTGTACTTTAAGTAGCCTTAATCTTGCTGTTAATACTTTTATGCTTTTGCAAGAAGGATTTTTACAATGATGTATTGGTACTTTTACTCAAGTAAAGCATCTGAATACTTCTTCCACCACTGTAAATAGGCCTAAAGACACAGCTGTGTAAGTCATAACTGTTTAAAAATCATTGTTGACTTTTAGGGAAATATTGTATTCGCCTTGCCAAGAGCTAGCTAGTTCAGCTAACATTCGCTAACGGTTAATGTGAAGCTAAAGCTAGTTAGCAGAGGGCTAGCTTGTTTAAGCATACATACTGAAAGCAAAGATAAACAGCTAACCAGCCGTTGTCCACGGGTTAAAAAATGTATACATGTATTACAGGTAAAGCTAAATTAACTTAATATATGCAGCTGTAATATAGACTTACGAAACTGTACTGTTTCCGGTCACTGTCATTGCTCAAGCTGTTTTCCACAGGTCTGCTGTGCACCAAAAAGCAGACAGATACAGTTGGCAACATATAGCTAAAATATAGTTACTTAAATGTGCCATGTTGCCAGTAACATGACATCAAATGAATGACAATTCCTTGTTCTGTCAATTTTGAGTTCACAACTTGTTTCCCCTGCAAAAAATAATGTGCTTTTTCTTTCATCCAATACCTGAAGGACTACTTCTGTATACATACTGTAGTTGTTTGAGAGATTGAGAATCTGATAACATCGATTTCACGGATTCAGTTAGGATTAATAGTTGTTGACAGTAGTGCTATTTTTAACTCGCTGCAGAAGTGAAAATACTGGAGTAAAAGTATTTTGCAGTTTAGAACAAAGGCAGCTCGCAGTGCATGCTTAGCCTTTTAGTGCCACTACAGTTCAATTGATTGTGACTCTGGTCTCAATATAGCACATATACTTGTGCACTGACAGTATTTACTCACTACAGTATATTATTACTAACAGTGTGTAGAAGAACTTGGTGCCCTAATCATAATATAAACCCATTACAATCTGCAGCACAGAAACTTTGGTAGGGAGCCTTGCACGTGAGGTATTTGCCGCCAAGCCTCTTAAATAGGCATAAATCAAAGGCCTTGGATCAATGCCCTGTTTCCCATAGGTGAACCACTGTGACACAACACAATCAATTCATGTTCTCTGCTGCAACAGTAAGGAGGGTCGACTGGAATCAGCCCCCATCACACATTAAAACCAACACTGAATCCAAATCAGCTCATTGGTATTCTGTAAAGAGAGTGGATTCAAAAGGTGGTAGAAGCATCTGTTGCTTTCATAAGCTGATATAGTGACAACAATAGCTGTGTCATAAAGCTGATAGACACTGCATTTAGGTGCTGCATGTCATAAAAGATCTAGCAAACCTAAAGGAGAAGAAATATTCATAGCTGCAGGCAGAAGTAATAATTGAAAAGATTGATCCATATAGTGCCGACATACATACACGGCTGCAGTGTATGGTTTAAACAGGGAATGAACAAGACAAACATTCCTGTTGCCCCAATGGAAAACTGTGTTAACTATATTGGAGCACCATATGCAGTGTACTTTATGCCTGTAGCTGGAGTCAGGTCACGGTCAATTGAATTACAGCACACAACCGTGGTCATGTGACCGGGTTTGTGTAAACTATCATTTGACAGGAGGGTGGGGCAGGTTGGGGATTAAAGAAGGAGAAGGAGGGCAGTGTGTACAGGTCATGACAGGTGTGTATATGTGTGTGTTCATAACCAATTTAGATGTTGTCTCTCAAAATCCCCAGGAGGGGAAGTAGGCAAAAAATTACTGCATTCATAGATTATATTCATTGCTACCAATCACATAATGTGAAATGAGTAGAATTAATCATTTCTTTAGTTAAACCATAACCATATACAGGTCGTAATATTCTCCAAGGTGATAAAATATTATGTGTGTACATAATGTTGCTTTGATCCGCTCTGTGCAGCTCATGCATACATTACATAAACACAGGCAGGATGCTAATGGGATGCCGCAGCAGTAACTGATTACATCTTTGCTGCCAGAGAAACAAGTAGCCACAGATGCCCATATTTCTCCGTTATATGTATTTAAGAGTCATTGGATGGCAATTTTCACTGAACAGAGCTTTTTCAATCGTTCATTAATCCGTTGAATTATTTATGTATTATCTGCTTTCTGGCGGGGGATTGGGAGGTTACTGCTAACAGAAAGAGAAGCAGGGAGAATAAATTCCTATAACTATATGCTAAATGCTTTGAACCCATGAGATATTGACTTAGGATGATTTCACACACACGAACTGACACACAGTAGGCACTTCCAGCTCAGCTTCACCTCTCGCCAATATAACAAACTCCCTGTCAGCGGAAAATATGCTGCAGTCAGCAGAGTCGTACGGCTTTATGGCAGCAGAAGAGCTTATTGCTGTCTCTTTGTCGCTGTATTCCTCTACTTGTGGTCCCATCGGATGTTCAGCACCTAATGAAAACGTGTTGAATGGCTCACTCACTCACTGTCATCTGTGCACTACCATACTTGCCTCTCTTTTAGTGGATGTAAGTAAGTTGGTGTTGATGGATTGTTTTTGGACAACATTATTTACAATTCTAATGACAACTTAAACATAGGTTTTTCTAAGCCAACAACCTGTCTCTTCTCTTAAAGTTGGCTCCAAGTAAACAGCTATTTTACAATTGCCTAGTGTCTGTTGATACTTAACTACAGATGGGAAAGGCCAGCGCCATATAAAGAGAATCTATTTATCTATATGGCGCTGGGAAAGGCTAATGCGTTTTAAAGCTTGTATTCTGTCACCCTCTCCTGGTTGAGTTGTGTAATTACAACTTCTATGTATATGATGAAAAATTGCAGTATATCAATGAGGATATTCTATAACCAATCATTCAGTGAAATACCTTTTTCTAGGATTGTTGTGCGGATAAAAGTGCTCAACATAGGTTCAAGGAATGTTTTTGGTTGTAATATAGGTTATCACATGGTCATGCAAACAAACCTTTAGAAACTTTAATCATCAACTGATGGTTCACTGCCAGTATTTCACCAAATGGGAAAAGGTCCAACTTAGAAAACCAGTTCAGAAAAATCCTTAGAAAAAACATTCAATCAATTGCAAACATCACTTTATATGACAAAAGGCCATCTAAAAATGTACTGTGTACTATACAGCTGAACATCAAGCTTTGCATAAACACTAGCCATATCATAAACATTACTAATATGACTTCAGTTTAATTAGAAGCACAGATCTTATGTTCCTATAAATTATCTTTTTATTTCAAAAGTCCCTTCCATCACACCACCAGCATGTCAGCAGGGGGAGGCTTTAAAGGAATCTGGCCGAGAGTAAACCTCTTAGCCTTAAACTGATTCAGTTCCTCTGCAGTCATAATGCTCACATGTGAAAACAGACTGTCTGAAGCTCCACCCGCAGGCCCGGCTCCTGCTGCTGGGGGAACAGCGGTCGCCCCAAACCCTCCGCTTGCCGCCGCAGGTGCCGCAGCACCAAAACTGCCCCCAAATCCTGCTCCAGTGTTTGACGTCGAGGAGAAAGTGAACTCCGAGGCAGAGCCGAATCCTGAAGTTGCTGCTGGCTTATCGGTGGTCGGAGCAGCAAAGGAGAAAGTAGATGGAGAAGCGGCTCCAAATCCAGAGGGAGGTTGTGTAGGAGCTGCTAAGGCACTGCCAAACCCTGTGGAGGAGGGCAGTGCAGCCGAAGGTCCAAACCCTCCACTCGGAGCAGCAAAGCTGAAGGAGTCGGCCGCTGCTGGAGCCCCGAAGCCTACATGGTCAGAAAGATTTAGAATGAACAAAGAAGCAATGAACTCTGCTTTCACACGAGATGAGGGGAACCACTGTCAGGTAGATATGACTCTACTTCTATTCTATTGTATTTACTTGCACCATTTTATCTGTTTTATTGTGTTGCTCTTTTGAAGGAGCCTGTGACCTAAGATTGTCATCGACATAACTACACTGTAGCTAAGCACACATGACGATAAAAGCCTTGAATCTTGAATCTACAGTAAGCCTGTACGACATTGGAGGAAAAAATGACACTACATTTTTTTTATTCCTGAGAAATAAATTGCCACAGGATTAATTACAAATGATTGTGATTGAGAACACACAACCTTTCAAATACAGGATTTGGAGTTATTTGCCAGGATATTTATTGGCGCTGGCTTCCTTTGATCATATAAAGGAATGACTTTGCTGACTCTCTGCCTTTACAAAAAAACAATACTTATAACTAACCTTTGGTTTCCACGCTGGATGTAGACGATCCAAATCCAGTCAATGTTGCTAAACCAAAGCCACCTGAAGGTGCCTGAGGTGCTGGGTTGTTTATCTCTGCAAGCTGCAAGGAATGGAAGTTATTTGAAAATGTATTTCATAAACATACAAATTGAATTGAATACTCATTGTTACAGCAAGTGTGTGTGTGTGTGTGTGTGTGTGTGTGTGTGTGTGTGTGTGTGTGTGTGTGTGTGTGTGTGTGTGTGTATTACTCATGCAACAGCCATCTCACACTGATGGATGGGAGCCAAAAACAGGTAGGCCTACGGCTACAAGATAATGATCCAGGATTTAGGTGTGTGTGTGTGTGTGTGTGTGTGTGTGTGTGTGTGTGTGTGTGTGTGTGTGTGTGTGTGTGTGTGTGTGTGTGTGTGTGTGTGTGTGTGTGTGTGTGTGTGTCTCACCAAAGCAGCGCGGGTGGCTGGATTCATAACCTTCAGTTCCTGGACTCTGCTTCTCCACTGGTTGAGCAACTGAGTGATACCGTTAACCTAAACCCCAGATAAAAACATTTACATTAAAAGAACACCCATTATCTTTACTGCAAAGAATACTTAAGAGCCTAAAGACAAATATAAGGAAAGACTATAAGACAAAGCACTTACGTATCCCTGAAGATCTCCGGACTCTCTTGTGGAGTAATATTCCAGTCGGAGCTCTTCTGGAGAAAGATCAGTGAAACCTGTAGACAAGAAACATCAAACATTATCAGGTCTAGTGTCTACAAAGAAAAAAGGATTGGTGATTAGATGTGGATTTACACTGACCAGATAAAGGCGCCTTGGAGTAGGAATAACATGAGAAGCCCCACTGGCCCGAGCTCTCCCAACTATCCATGTCCGACTGGACGATCTCCCTGAGTGACAGTGAGACAGACATGAAGTTAATCAATCCTGATGCTCACATTTTAACATTGCACATTACACAAAACGTAATAAAAAGAAACAAGGACCGTACAGTTTTTTGTCATCATCATCCTCTCCAGCTGGCACCTGCTTTTCTCCTCCTCTTCCTCCCCTGTCAAAGGTGCTGGGAGTGTCAAGCGCTGAAAATCGGTTTTGAGCAGAGAAGCTATACTCGGAGCTCTTCACGTTATCACTCCTCCCGCCACCTCCTCGGCCCCAGTCATTGCCTCCTCCTCCTCCACCCCCTCCTCCTTTGCCCCAGTCATTTCCTCCACCCCCTCCTCCTTTGCCCCAGTCATTTCCTCCACCCCCTCCTCCTTTGCCCCAGTCATTTCCTCCACCACCTCCTCTACCCCAGTCATTTCCTCCTCCTCCACCTCCTGCTGCTGCTTCCTTTCCCCAGTCAGCTCCTCCGCTTCCAGCTCCTCCTCGACCCCACTCCTCAGTTCCGTGAGAGGAGAAAGATGACGGCTGGATGTAGGCTGCTTTTTGCTGGGAGGGATTCACCCAAACTCTGTTTCCAAACCCTGAAACCAACATGCACACAGTTGTTGAATCATTCAAATAAACGCCACCACTACGGCCACTTCTGCACGTAATGCCATCTTTAGTATGACTGCAGGGATTTTGAGTCACTGGGTCACATGACATTGATCTATTGAACAAACTAATGAAAGTGTGCCAGATAACACACATTACTATATATTTTTAGCATAACTTTTGCAAATAGGGGCAAGTTAGCACAGGTAGAGGTTTTTTCAAAAATCACAGTTTTGAGTAAGTCAAATTGTAATTTGTCGAAGGCTGACTGTCTGTCGAATACCCAACCTATAACTAATTTTAAACGGTTTCACAGAGACGTTGATTAAACTTTATTTACATTTTGCCAGATGAGGTGTTTGTTTGCAGCGCTGTTCAATTGTACCATAAGGATTGGCGTTCCTAATTAGTTTTTAATCTTATTAACAGTTGTGTAAAGTGAATAAGTACTACTACTAAAGTACTGTACTTATGTACAATTTTGTGCTACTTTGAACTTCTACCCCACCACAATTCAGAGGTAAATCGTGTACTTTTACTCCACTACATTTATTTAATATACCTTTAGTTACTTTACAGATTTCTATTAATGATGTAAAATATAATCAAGTGTTAAGTCAGTCTTTAGTTCCACCTGGAGTAAATTCACAAGCTACCCTGCAGTATACAAAGTCATTCAAACTAGCTGCACCTTTACCAGCTATGAGAACACTTTCATGATCTATCATTATAAAACATAACATATATATTATTCTGAAATGGACCAAACTGCACAAAGACTGCTTACTTTTGGTACTTTAAGTATATTTTGATGGTAATACTTTTCTACTTTTACTTAAGTTACATTTTGAATGCAGGACTTTTACTGTAACATAGTATTCCTACACTCTGGTACTTCTACTTTTACTCAAGTACAAGAGTACTTTTACTCAAGTACAAGATCTGAGAGTACTTCTGCTTTTACTCAAGTACAAGATCTGAGTACTTCTTCCACCTCTGCCTATTTGTATTAGTCCAGTAAAAGTACCTTTATGCTTGAATCAATTAACTTGCTAAGTAAGAATATGTTACAGCCTACTCAAAAGGCACAACAATAAAAGTAAACAACCCTAGTGTGAAGTCAATGATGGAGAAACGAAAGTAAATGTTGCCTGCTACGTAGTTACGTCAACTTCGCCGGTATCTTACTGGATAGGTTTCAATAGAAGAAGCAGCTGCAGGAAATGTAAACAACTTTAAATGTTCTCCTTGTGTTCACCTCCTCCTCCTCTGGGCTGTTGCTGAGCAGAAGAGCGGTTGTTGTAGTTGTTGTTGTTGTATCCTCCTCCTCCTCCTCCACCTCCACCTCCACCTCCTCCACCTCCACCTCCACCTCCACCTCCTCCTCCTTCTCCCGGGTGCTCATTCCAACATTTGTCCCCGTATCGACACCGTCCCTGGAGGAAGAAGTTGCACACGGTCATTTCAACACACTCCTTTTTCTCTGAGCGTCCAAATGTCGGCAGCCACACTCGGCAGTGTTTTCGTGCGGCTCAGGAATCTCACACAGCATTGTGTCGCAGGACTTGTACGTCATCGCTCACTAGTGACCCCAGGTGGACGGTGATGGATATCCTTCAATTACTTCAATGTTGCATTTGGTAAATGTGGGGTTTATTTGGATTTCGTTTATAATAATGTATTAGTGTTTTTGTGCCTTAATGCTTATCTTTCCCCCTGGTTCTTATTGGATGTATTATTTATGTTTCGTGTCTTATTGTGAATTAATGTCTAGTTTAAAGTAGCATATTGTAAAAGATTTACATGGTGGCTGTTTCTTCATGGTTATGGAGACCTTTCTCTTACCTTTTCTTAAGTACAAAGTCTGAGTGCTTCTTCTTCCTCGAAAAAATAAATAAACAAAATAGAAAATCAATCAATCAGTCAATCAATGTTTATTTATATAGCCCAATATCACAAATGTTACATTTGTCTCAGTGGACCTCACAGTTTGTACAGAATATCAGTATGACAATACGACACCCTCTGTCCTTAGACCCTCACATCGTACAAGGAAAAACTTCCAGAGGAAAATCACAGTTTAAAGGGGACATGGGAGAAACCTCAGGGAGAGCAGCAGAGGAGGGATCCCTCTCCCAGGACGGACAGACGTGCAATAGATGCCGTGTGTAAATCGAAAAGATAATACATTTTACAGCATAGGTAGACCAAATGTTTGGAAATGCACAAGGATGTCAACAATCCTGTGGGAGCCATCAGGGAAGTAGTATGATGAGAGTCAGGCAGCACCGCAGAGACAGGTTCAGCCACGACTCGAAGTCCAGGACTCAAATCCAAAACTCAGGATAGAGGATCCAGGACTCAGGACCGCAGCAACAGGATCAGCCACGACACAGGATCCCGGCGTAGATAGACACCAAAAATAAATTTGGGGGAAGCTGGGTTATTCGGAACATGAGAGTACACAGGCACAGACAGACAGAAGGAAGAAGTAAAGTGTAAAGAAGTCAAATGTTTTTTAAAACATGAGATCTTTGACATCTCATATATGAGCTATCGTCCCTCTATTTTAAAAAAAAACTGTCCATGATCAAAGACTCATTTCACTTCAGTGTGATAGCAGGCCACACCAAGTATTCACTCGTAGGTACCTTGACTTTACTTGAGTATTTCTGCAATTTATATACTGTGTCTCTGCTCAGGAACATGAGCCTGTATTTCTGATTTCTAGTTTTTTATCTTTATTATTTGATTCTTATTCATGCTTATTGAGTGATATTAAGCTATATTTGGCTCTTTGCTGTAACAACTGTTCATGTCCCCTCTGTAGGACGAGTACAGGTATTCTGATTCTGAATTTCCCCAATTTGGGATCAATAGTAGTTTGATGTATCCAGTAGTGGGCGCTAACGCCTGGTTGCCACCGGCTCTAAAAAAGAAAACACAGACGAAGATGCTACTTCGCGCATGCGCAGTGATACTATAAATGCTAGCTGAGCAGAACGGATGTGTCTGACATTAAAGACTCGATTGACAGCTCGTAAACCTCCTGATTTAAGTAAGTAACTTCAATCAAATGTACCAGTAACTACCAAAGAGTGTATTTTTAACATTAATTTATTATGAGTGTCATTAGTGTGTTTACATGGCGCACAATGAGTTGTTCCGTGTTGCCTGTTAGCTAACGTTAGCTAGGCTAAACAACAACAAAGTGAGCAAATGCTAAGGATAATATCCAAGTTATAACCAGTGGTGTAAAGTAACTAAGTAGATTAACTCAAGTACTGTACTTAAGTACAATCCAGAGGTACTTGTACTTTACTTGAGTATTTCCATTTTCTGCCACTTTGTACTTCTACTCCACTACAATGCAGCCACTACATTTATTGTTTGTTTGTGTGTGTGTGTGTGTGTGTGTGTGTGTGTGTGTGTGTGTGTGTGTGTGTGTGTGTGTGTGTGTGTGTGTGTGTGTGTGTGTGTGTGTGCTGTAGGCTCGACATGGGAAAAGGCTGTAAAGTGGTGGTGTGTGGACAGGCAGCGGTGGGAAAGACTGCCATCCTGGAGCAGCTGCTGTACGGAAACCACTCTGTAGGTGAGTTATGCATTAACGTTAATAATGAGAAAATAACATACCATTATACATGCAGGTCACTGGATTCACATGGGTTTAAAGTAGTAACATGTGTGTAGACTCAGAGGTTTTGCAAATATTTAAACAGATCTGCATATATACAAACAAACGCCACGATTCAATTTTTTTTCTTCTTATAACTGTTTGTAAAATCCACACTAGAAAGTGTTGGTTCCACAGTGGTAAAATGTTAGGGAGATTATTACATATTATTTTCATTTACTTTAATATCTATTCCCAGATTTCTTTTTACATTTTGTAGAATTCATTTGTATATTTTGCAGATCCCTTTTAAGCAAAGTTCAGCATTTGTGTGAAGGTGTTTTTCATTAAGAGATTTCAAATCAACACTTCAATTGTCGATCCTTTCTCCTTCCTTTTCTTTCTACGTTTACATTAAGAGCCAGTTTCACTTTTACACTTACATGTCAAATGATAAATAACAACCAGAAATATATACTGTAAATACTTTTGACTGTATATACAAATGTAACAATCAAATTGCTCTCTTGAACTACTCTTAACCTGTATCTAGATTTTAATTTGGCCAGGGGCTGTGCAATATTTTGGAAATAACCACATGACATAGTTTCCTCACAACTCTTCTGAATGGATGCCTGTGTATCATCCACTACATACTCATGGCATGTCCATGTTAAAAGAGTATTTGATCGATACGAAAAACAACACTAACGCATATATTATTTCTGTATTTATTCATGTCCTCTTACAGTATATGTATTTCTATATAATGTGTGCTCCAACGTCAGGTAATCAACATGATCTGCTGTAGATAGATACTCTATTCTTCCCAATTATTTAGTTCCAGCAGCAGTGTTGTCAAGCATTACACGGGTTCAGAATCTGAATCAGAAATCTTTATTTGTACCACAACGGGGAAATTCACTTGATTATGTAGAGGAGGGGGAGGGGTAGAATGTATGGAGAGGGGGCATGCAGCAGGAAGTACAAGCATTTAAAAAGCAAACATATCACAGTAAAAGCACACACTTAAAAACAATGCAATAATGACCAATTAAAATACATTGCCATGTGACAATTACAACAGCAGATAACGTTATAGAGTATGCACACGTTATTAATAACACAATAAGTAACAAAAAAACTAAAATAGCAGATTATAGAAAACAAAGTATAAGTCTAATTTAAGAAGTTTCTGAGACTTAAAAAAATATTTTTTGAGAGGGAACCGGAGTACCCGGGGTAAACCCTAAATGGAGAAGATGTTCAGCACCTCCTCCACCTGCAGCTGCTGCTGTTCTGCTTCACCGCACCACCACGAGCACAATGAAGATAGCAAGCAGACCTGCAATGAACAGGACCTTGAGCAGTTCTTTCTTCCAGCTGGAGGAAGCCTTGGTTGCCAGTTGTGCAGAGAGCTGTTTGATATGGGCCTGAAAAGAATGGACGATCGCTGCCTCCACAGCCGGATCCTGTTGTAAAATCAGAGTCTCCAGACTTAGTCTTGCCGCTAAACGTCTTCTGCAGTCCTTTCAGCACATCCTTGCACACTTTCTTCATGCTCCTGGCGTTGGGGCAGAAGCCTTTAGTGATGGCGAGTCCCTCCATAGTTTGGTTCACCAGCCTCTTTATGTGGGCGGTCCAGTCCGCCGTGCTGCGATTCTCCAGAGCGTGGCACTTGAGCATCAGTTTCACGTCAGCAGGGTGACAAACATCCGAAGCTGGTTCTCACTCACTGCCTCGCATTCAGACTCAGACAGTGCCTGATCCCTGGCCTTCTCTGTTGCTCTCTGTGCGTCTGGATACTCTGCAACACATCTGTAACCTGCTCTCGCAGCAGCACGTACTGATACTGCTCCGACAACTGCTACTGCTGTTGATGCTACTACTGCTACTGCTACTACTGGTGTTAATGCTGCTGCTGCTAGTGTTGCTGCTAGTCCTACTGATGCTAGTCCTACTGCAGCTAGTCCTACTGCCTGATACTACCTGCTGATAGCCCTTCTGCGGCTACTCCTGCTGCTCCTACTCCTGGCTGCTCCTACTCCTGCTGTTTTTCCTGCAATGTTGGTTAAAAAGATTTAATTTGTCCTGGCTCTTTTTCTTCAACATTAAGAGAACAACCATCGTTACTCTGCAAAAAGAGCTCCTAAACAATACACCTGTTGCAATGCCTGCCAGTTTGAATATTAAGCCTTTTTAAATACTTTAGTTTGCTCTCTCTGACTTCTGACTTGATTGTCTTAAGGTTATCTACATATACAATTAAAACAAAATCCTAATTGCTCAATCATTGTGATTAAATGGGAAAGTTGTTGCATTATCACAATAAGGAGAACCAAGGTTAGCCCACTATAAAACACATATAACTAAATAGCTACAACGTCTGTATTATCAAATGTAATGTGCAGTGTTGTGAAATAACTCCAAGAAAGGAAACTTACCGGCCATGTTACCACTGTTTCACTGGTCCAATGTAGTCCTGTGTTTGGTGAAGGTGAGGACTAGTCTTAACGTGTTCTCAGTTTGCTCTGATGTTCGGAAAGGCTGTTACCAGTCATCTCAAGAGAGATTCGCCCTAGCGGGCCTTTGGAAGCATGGGGGTCCGCTGTGAATCAATAATACGGGCTGTTGACATCATCGGCTGTGACATCATCATATTGCAAATACCCTGACGGCTGGACACACAATTCCCGATAGAATCCTCGAAACCGCTCCTAAAATGGCTTTGTAACGTACTGTAGCTTATTTACTCCAGGCCTGGATATGACACTTAAAGTGCTCCGGCGTTACCACCGAAGCGCGAGATGCGAACTATGGCGCGCTGTCCGGCTCAGATCGCCGTCCTATCCGAGCATCGCTCTACAACGCCTGCGAGTTTCACGCCGCGGCTGGTTCAGGCTTGTGTTACTCGGCATCATTCAATACAAACGTGGCCTGGCTCGCGGGCTACAACTACAAAACAAAATGTGAAGCACTCATTGTTGACGGTGATTTAATTGTTAACTACACGTTTCCAAATGATTGGAGCCGAAGTAAAACAAACGTACTGATTACCCGGGTTAGTAAAAAACCATGATTAATCGGCTTTTGACAAGGTCTCCAGACAAGACGGCAGGTGACCGCCGTTTTAAATGCGTTTTTTCTGAATGGAGATTGGCTAAGCATAGTACGTTTCATGGTTATATGCTAACCGGTATCAGTACGTTGTTACTTCGGCATCATTTTGAAACGTGTAATTACAATTTAAATCACCGTCAAACATGTTCATTTTGTTGTAGTTGTAGCCCCGAGCCAGGCACGTCTTTTGGAATGATGGAAGTAAACACAGCTGACAGCCGCGGTGAAACTCGAGCGTTTAGAGCGATGCGATGTAGGAGCGATCTGAGCGAAGCGAATATTCGCATCGCGTCTCGGTGTGAACGCAGCATTAAGCTGTTCATATCAGGGCAGTAAAAGCTAGTACTTAAAAGCCATTTTTAAGGGTTTCAGGATTCTAGAATTTGATGTCACAGCCGTAGGATATTCTTGAATATGATGAGTGTCGAGCAGCCGATTGATGTCACAGCCGTATTATGATGTCAAGCCCCAGCTTCAAAGGCCGGCGGGTGAATTTTGAAATGACTGTAGACACCTTCCGAACATTCAGGAGCGAGGAGAGAGGACGTTAAGAGCTAGTTCACCTTCCACACACAGGCAGACGTAACCATTGGACCAGTGAACAGTGGGTAAACATGGCCGTAAGTTCCTTTCTTGGAGTGTTTCACCAACACATCGGCA